GCCGTCCTTAAGCAGTTTGTCCAGTTGACTGACTCTATCGAGAACCAAATTCGGTTGCGACTGAGACGATGACCACTTGGATTTTAGTCTTACTCCTGTCTTGCCTTTGCGTTCAACATTTTGTACGTTTCCCTTTACCACCTCTGTGTACGCCTTGATCTTATGCTCTTCGCTCTGGTCAACAACTTCCGGCGTCTCTGTAGGTGTGGTGAACAGTGCTTGACTACGCTTACCCGTTAAGGTAGCTGCGCCAGAAGCGCAGGTGATAAGGCAAGGAGTTGGTAGCGAAACAGCAGCGATGTTCATCTCAGCATGAGCAGGAGAGGTGAGCGGACTGAGCGCAGGCAGTCCATTAAGGCATCGCCTGTTGCTTATCGTAACACGGCACAGACCGCAAAAGAAACCTAAGCCCGGAACGTTGGATCACAGGAGAAATTCGTACAAACCATGGCCGACTTCACAGCAAGCTGTGTTGACCCATCGCAGATGCCCTGCTAGCACAAAAAGGACTTTGAAGGCGAAAATGTGTGGTAAAGTCCTTAACCGTCAACTATAAACATGAATCCATGGTTAAGGACTTTGGCGACCATTTTGTAGGCGAAATTTGTCCTTCCACTGCAGCTGTATTAAGTACACAGTGAAGGACTTTGCACGTTGTCCAATCATAAATCAAGGTTTAACAGTGGACGACAGACACACCAGCGGAGCATGAATGGTCGTTGACGATTGACCTTGAACGGCGCGGACCAATAGCCGTGCACGCACCACTACGATACGCACGCACCTAGGCGGAAACCCCGGTACGCCGCACCTAGCCGCTACCCCGGTACGCCGCACCTAGCCGCTACCCCGGTACGCCGCACCTAGCCGCTACCCCGGTACACCGCACCTAGCCGCTACCCCGGAACGCCGCACCTAGCCGCTACCCCGGTACGCCCCACGTATTGGCTACCCACCCAAGCTCCCACGCCGCTGGATGAGGATCTCAAATCCCTACCTGCGCTTCCCGTTAATAATACTATGTAACGCAAGTATCATATCCGCTTACAAATGCAAGGTAAAAGTGCGAGTCATAGCTATGACATATTTTCGCTTGCGGCGTAACAAAATGAATGGCAGGGGAAAGCGTGGTATCATGGTGCACAGCCTGCTGCCACTGAATGGAGGAAACTATGTTTAACATGGCGCACATGCATGGTGCATGCAGTCCCACTAGTCATAGTGATGCCTTAGTATTTCAGTCCCACTGAGCACAAAGATAGAGGGAATGGAATCCGATCATTTCACAGTAAGAAGTCGGTTTACCGACGTATAGTATTGGATACATTAATTGTAAGGACATCAATACTGATAACAGAGGTCCGTGTTCAGTTTGACACCGTTACCGTTCTTCCATGCTGTCGCCGGGGCAGTCCAAGTCCACCAATTGGGGAACCTTATGTAAGGAATGTTATTAAGTAATCCACGATTTCATACCTGCTGGCTGCTTGCACAACCTTTGGGAGTGTCGCGCCATGCATTGCCACGAATGGATTTCAAGTATTTCCTAACATATTGTGTAACGTCATCGGGTGACACGTTACTTCCGGAGAAACGTTTTAATAGAGAAGCTAGGACAAGGATGGAAGGGCAAAGATGTTGCTTACCTTGCATTTCGGTGAATAGCTTCGTTTTCCGGAATCCTTGTTTGTTGCGGGAACCGGAGTAATTGATCTCTGCCATCAATGACCGCGTTAGAAGGCGCTGCATCATGAGGCGTACGGTCTCCGACAACGTTTCTCCATGCACACCTTCCAGATAAGTATGCTGCATGCATATGTGAGGTATCAAAGCCTCCTACCAATTGTTGCCTGCGTCCTGCATCCTGCATTAGTATATCGAAGGACTGCAGTTCCTCCACCGATGTAATTGGCAAAGGAAGCTGCGTTGCCTGCTGCCCTGGTTGCCCGGCAATTGTTGCAGCCATCGATCTCATGGAGCTCTTCATATACTCCAGTGTCTCCATAATTTTCTGAACATTACCTGCAAACATAAACCCTGTTTTTAAAAAGCTAGGAAGTTACCATTTATGGACTGCAGTTCATTCTTCATTTGGTCTATATCGCCTGCAAAAAATGGTAAAACCTCACGTACATGCTTACGGTGAATAGCATTCCAGTTGCTTGTAGGAACGGTGATGAAGGAGGAATCGGAGGTGGACTCTAGTACTAGGACAATCAAGCTACAAAGTGTAAGCACCAACCCGATGCCGTTGACGGAATCTGTGGGCTCGACTTTTCACCACAGTTAGATGCGGTATTGAACGCTGTAGTTTAACATTAAGCAAAATGTACCCCTTACCTGTATAAGCTGGTTTGTATCCACCCATGTTGTATTGCTGGGAAGACCACTGACGTGAGTTTTTACCCATCGAGCGGGCCAACTCAGTTAAAGAACAGATAGGTGGCGAGCCATATGGAACGGCTGTTGGAACCATGCGTTTCCTGGGTGGCTCAAAGTCATCGTCGTCCGAAACCAAACGACGTGGCATACGGCTGTGATGAAATGTTATATAGATGTGGCAACTCACATGAGTCTACGTGGGGGTGTGCCCATGTCGACTGTTGAATCCGTGTCTTCCGGCAGGTTCGAAAGGTCGACTGAGTTTGCTATTGCAGCAGCCTGATCGAAATCCACTGAAGACTTATGACAGCACAGAACTTACTGGTTCGCCGAAGTATAGTCACACGGGCCAACTTACAGTTATCCTCCGCCGGCCGGTGTTCCCTCACAGCGTTAAGGTATTCCGAAGGGGGTACGTTTGGTAGCAGCGCCTGCCGACCGTCCCCAAGCAGCCAAGAGCTGCTTATGGTTGTAACCGAGCATCCAGTGGACGTGCTCAGGGAAACGAAGCAATATGTTAACGAAGCCATAACGCTGAAATAGATGACTCATCAACAGAGAAGCATACACATTTGCAAAGTATATCACCCACACGGAATGATTTGAGATCATCGCTGATGCCTGAGGCTGCAAATATGTTGCAAACGGAAGAAGGTATCTGGAGATGGTACAACGCATGCACGCCTGTGAAAGGTTTACAAACAATGGTCTCACATTCTGAGCCCATATGGTCAAACCGGACAATGCAATACGGGTAATCAGATACGATGATAACGTTATCAGGTGCGCTGCATGCGTACGTTGTACCATCCAGTATCAACAGTTCACGACGTGTTAATGCACGATGTTGTATGCGAGTAAGCTGAGATTCAGGCCAAGGCGAGAAATTGGAGACGTCCGCATATTCCAAGCACCGTCTCACAATCTGCGCCGCGGGATTTCGTGCGTTCCGCACTACTCGCTTCAGGACGCCTATGTAAGACTCGAATGGAAATGCGGAGAAGTCATCAAGGGTTCCATGCACTTCCACATCCAATGCTAGGTGACTTAGGCAGTGAACATTTTACGCTATCTGGTCTTTCCCGTACAGGCAGTAGTACCCGTGTATGAAATTAAGCAGCAACCGTTTCGCGAAAGACCAGTAATGCCTATGCAACAGCGGGTGACAGAAGATGTATATTCCCAGATGAAGGTGTAAAAAGTTGTCGTAATAATCTCCCGGTAGCACGTTTATTAACATTGCAGGCGCGGCGTATAAAACAAACCGCCTAAATTCAACGGCTTTCCAACCTTTAAACATAGATATACCTCTGCAACGCCTAGGAAAATCCCATGGCCATGCAGTGGTATTTTGTAGCAATAAGTGATCTATTGCACGCAATGTATCATTAGGCAATTTTACTTTCTTCCATGTTGGTGCCTCTATCCATAAACCGATTATGCGTCGCACCACTCCTAAGCAAACGCAATGCATGCAGTCAATGGGAAATTTCGAAACCATATCAATACCGAGGTATTCAAAATGGGACATCAAAGATCGCTTCCTTTTCATAACCGATTTATGCGATCTAAGGCGGCATGTAGTAGATGGGAAGGTAACCTTCCGGTTGACATAAGTACCTTTCTGAATGCATTTGCCGCAACTGCTGTACCCTGAGTGCCCCTTGGTCCTCTTCACATATGCTCGAGCAGGCGCGTCGCATATAACAGCCCCTAATTCAACAGAGGTGGGCCTGGAGCATGCAGCAAGCGTGAAACCCGTTGGCAGCAGCACCTGCAAATCACGTATCAGGGGAGTTAGAAATTCAATCACATCGGGTTTCTCAGGACCACCGTAAACACCGACAACAAATGGTTTTGACTTCACGGGGTAAATAGATCGACACTGAATCGGCCAGATCTGCATTTTCGAGGAGTTGAACGGGGTGAAAGCATTTATGTGCAGCTGGACAACAACCCTTTCCGGCGGCTGTATGTCACCATCCTGGTAGATACTGCGTAGACCACGCAGCAGCCCAATGTGTCCATATGCACCGGCACCAATGCGAATGGTCTGCGCATTCCTTGGAGTTCTCATAAGCGTTCGGTAATCTTTCGGTATCCAAGACATGCTCCTGCGAAGGGCCGCAAGCAACTTGTTCACGGAAGAAATGCTGGGTCGTGTGCTTCGCACCCATTGTCTTAAGTCTTCCATAACATCAGTGGTGCCAATGCGATTCGCGTCCCTGCAGCTAAGTGCTTGCTCCGCTTCCAATTCTGATGATGAAAGCAATACACCATTAGCAATGGTTGGCACTGCCATTGTACTCCGCTGCGCTACCGCATTCTGTAACTGCATGTCATTAGTGCGCAAACGCCCTGTTGCTTCTTATATGAGGTAAGGAGCAGTAACATAGGGAGATTAGAACTTACCAGTGTATGGCAACGGTTCACATATTGTACGATTTGAGATCTCATTTTGTGTACGCTGCACAGGACAAACCCTTTGAGCAATTTGTCCGATACGCCTTTTCGCGCGCAAATATCGATCCCGCAAAGTGCGGTCACTGGGCAGCATGAAAGCCCATTGTCGGTTTGTACACCGAAGTCTCATTAACAATGCTGAACATAAAACGTTACGTTTAACGTGCCCACGTACATTTAAAAGGACCCGGATGAGTGAAAACACGGAAACGTCCAGCAATGTCCCCACCGGTATTACTAACGGAATGCGCCCTGCAAAAGAGAACGGAACCTCACAGTGAAGCTACCTATGTAGAGCAGGAGTAATTGCGCAAGTGAAGATAA